GCCGGGCGTCTCTGCGCGCAGCTCCCTCCCATTACGCGCTGTCGTTCTCGCTGGGTCCCAGGCTTTCCAGTTGGAGAAAGTGCACTCTATCGTACTGGAAGAGCATTCGGCCCAGGACAGGCGGAGCCTCCAGTCTCGGGGATGGGAGTCCGCTTGTGCTGGGGAGAGTCTAAGCGGCCAGGAGCACTAATGTGTAAGCGGTTTTCCTTCTCTGTGTTGTGGCTGCGCAGGAAATCCCAGGCTGGAGGCTGAGGAATCCTGGGCTTTAGCGCTTGTCCTGTACTGGCCGACAGCGGCGCCCTGAGGCCCCATGTGGAACTGCAATCTAGTTTTTCTCTATTTCAGGAAATCTTTTTCTTGAAATGCAAAATCGTAACAGCTAAAATATTTGAATCTTATTCCTCAGTGATTCCGTTTTCATCAAGAAACATATTTTTGATATGGTCAAAAGTATATATTTTTCAATTTTAAAAACTTACCTAGATTTTGAATAGATGAAAGTATTTCTTTCAAAAGTAAAAAAGGCACAACAAAATAGAGTGAAAAGTAGGTCTTTCCCATGGTTCTTCCACCCAGAAGCAATCACTGTTGTTTCTTTTAAGAGTAATGATCCACAAAGGGTAGTACTGAAGATAGGCAAAAAACTTTTTTTGGTCTTCCATCCTAGCTTATATTTGAATACAAAATATTAATCTATTCCCCCATATTTAGGAACTAGAATACAACCCGTGCCATACTGATTACAATCATTCAAAGTTTCCTGTGCTTTTTAAAACTACATTTTTAAAATTTTTGCTACAATAGCTACCATGTCAAGAGTTCCCACTCCCCAAAAAAACCCCTGTAATGTTCAAAATAACAGATAGATGCATAATAATTTTGAGCCTCGTGGACAGAAATTTTAAATGACAGTTTCAATTATTTAAAAGTTAATAATTACAACCCTAAAGGGTATGTCCTCCTTCCACAGACCTATCATTGAACAAATGTTGAATGACATGAAAAAAAGTAATGTTCTCATAAGTATTTTGAGACACATTAGGATAATCTTTGATTTTATGCTACCCTATTAGTTTAGAAGACTATTAGTAATAAACTAAAAGTAAGAGATCAAACCAAATACATCACTATCTTCAATAACCTAAATGGGGTCATCAGTAACTCCACTGATAATTTGTTTGGAGTAACTTTGTGTACTTCCCTGCTTATAATTGGATCTCCTGCAGAAACGACATGTCTTTCTTGAGTTTAAATTTATTTTGACTCTTTAATTTCAGGGTTTTCAGAGTTTCAGGTGGTTCTTTTTTCTACATTAAGGGGCCACTGAAATACTCTTGGCACACATCCCTTGCTCCTGTTCTTGGGAACATATGCAAGTCTATCTATCCACAATCTATGGATTTTTTTCAGCCTCAGAGATTGGAGAATTTAACAAAAATACAAAGAGAACAGAACACAAATTTTGTTTAATTTAACCTTCTATAGGTTCTCCAGAAACCCAACTGAGCAAGAAAGTCAAATTAAAATGCTATGTCTTCCACACAACACTATGAAATTAAAACCACAGGCAAAAAGGATGATGTAGTGTTACCAGGCATGATTACACTTGGAAAAATTTAAGCACACATTGTGATGAATTGTTATAGAATATTGATGAAAATGTTAAGTTTCTTTAGAAGTATATTCAACGGTAACTGTCACTACAAAGTATAGTTTGAAACATATAACCGCAAAGGTGTACTGCCCTTCTCCTTGAAAGGAACATTGAGTGTCCGGGTGTTTGAGTTGGGTTTCCAGTGATGCTAATTTATTTCTGATATTTACCCATTCTTACCAGACCAGCCTTCAAAAACAACAGCTAGGATTTCAGCATGTGGCCAACAGGAGAGCACACAAAACTATAAAACAAATACTCTGCCATTATGTAAATATTTACCAGAAAGTAAAAACATATCAGCCTTAATAACTAAGTTCTACTCTTCAATGTTTTGGCAAGAAGCAAATGTCATTGAAACAAAGGAAAAGTGAAAGAATAGAGATTAAAATTTTCCGTCACCTAAAAGCAAAACCAACAATAATTTTTTCATGAAAGGAAAGGAGTGAAAACAGAACTCACTGGAACCAAAGGGGTGTCTTCTATAGGAAACTTCGAATCATCTAACAAAGACAAAGGATCCTTTTTCTCACAGCTCTCCTGGCTGATGAGCGTGTCCGCGTAGTTGGGCTGCGGGAAGATCAGGTGACTCTTCCGCGAGTCCGCGGTGAGGGAGACCTCGTGGGAATAGGTCTGCAGGAAAGCCTGCACCCCGTCCACACCCACAAAGTGAGAGGTGGGCATGCCAACCAATCCGCTTCCTGAAGCCTGGAGCCCTTGTGACGTGTGCCAGCGCCACAGTCTGAGCGCCAGCAGCACGATGACAAAGGCGAGGAAGACGCAGGAGACAGCTGCCACCGCCACCACCAGGTACAACGTGAGGCTGGAGTCCTCAGGGTTGGCAGAGGGCTCAAGACTGCCTAGGTCGGCCAGGATGTCTGGGATGCTGTCAGCCACGGCCACAGTGAGCGTGACGGTGGCCGAGAGAGGGGGCTGGCCGTGGTCCTGGACCGCCACCACCAGGCTCTGTTTGAGCGCGTCTCTGTCCAGCAGGGCCCGCGCAGTGCGCACCTCGCCTGTGTGCAACCCCACGGAGAAGAGCCCTGGCTCGCTGGCCTTGAGCAGACGGTAGGACAGCCAGGCGTTCTGGCCTGAGTCTCTGTCCACTGCCACCACCTTAGTCACCAGGTAGCCCGGCTCTGCCGAGCGGGGCGCCAGCTCCACACCTGTGGACCCATCGGTGGGGAGGGCAGGGTACAGGATCTCTGGCACATTGTCATTCTGGTCCAGCACGAACAGACTCAGTGACACATTGCTGCTGAGTGGTGGGTCCCCACTATCGGTGGCAGTCACCTGCATCTGCAGATCACGAAACTGCTCATAGTCAAAGGAGTGCAATGCATACAGGACGCCGGTGTCCGTGTTGATGGAGATGTAGGAAGAGAGAGGTGCCCCATGGATAGTATCTTCAGCCAGGGAGTAAATAACCCGAGCATTCTCTTTGCTGTCAGGGTCCAGCGCTGTCACCGAGAAGATGGAGGCTCCTCTGGGGTTGTTCTCTGGGATGTAGGTAAAGTAGGATGTGTGAGAGAAGGTGGGTGGGTTGTCATTGATATCTGCCACCTGCAGGATGAAGTGAGTTTCCGTTGATAGGGGTGGACTTCCTCCATCTGTGGCTGTTACAATAATATTGTAAGAGGATACCTGTTCCCTGTCAAGGGTCCTGTGTGTCACCAATCTATAATAACTGTCAATGGACTTTTCTAACTTAAATGGTAGATCTTCTGATATGGAACAGGTGACATGTCCATTCTGTCCAGAGTCTAGATCGTGAACATTTAAAAGGGCTATAACAGTTCCCTGAGGTGAATCTTCCTTCAAGGGACTAAACAGAGATGTGATGGTCACCTCTGGACTGTTGTCATTTACATCTTCTACTGTAACCAACACTTTTGCGGTTGCAAGATATGCTCCTCCATCTTCCGCTTGTATTTCTATTTCATAGAAACCTGTTTCTTCATAATCTAGATTTTCTGATATTTTTATTTCTCCAGTATTTTTGTTTAGTTGGAATTTCAACAATTGTGCATCAGGTAATTTTCGGAATGAATATGTCACTTCTCCATTGGCTCCTTCATCCCTGTCGGTGGCGGTGACTGTCAGCAGTTGTGTGCCCACAGGCAAGTTCTCAGGAACACTCACTCGGTATTCGGGCAAAGTGAAGACCGGTGCGTTGTCATTTGTATCGAAGACAGTCACACTGATGAGGACAGTGCCAGATCGGAGAGGGTCACCCCCGTCGCAGGCAGTGAGGACCAGGTGGTGCTGTGCCTCCTCCTCTCGATCCAGGGCGCGCTCCAGCACCAGCTCCGGGTACTTGACGCCACTGGCACGGCTCTGAACTGCTAGGGAGAAGTGCCGACTGGGGCTGAGCTGGTAGCTCTGTAGGGAGTTCACGCCCACATCCGGATCAGCAGCTTCCGGGAGAGGAAAACGCATTCCTGGGGCGACGTTTTCATTAATTTTTACGTCTAGATTTTCTGCTTGAAATTTTGGGGCATTATCGTTGATATCAGTTACTTCTATTTCTATCACGAAAAGTTTCACCCTGTCTTCCACGAGAATGTTAAAACTCACCAGACACCGCGCGCTCTGAGCGCAGAGCTCCTCCCGGTCTATCCTACCCGCGGTGACCAAGCTGCCACTCCGCGGGTTCAGAGCGAAAAGCTGCGTCCTACCTCTGGAGACGATGCGGACTCCGCGCTCCGCCAGCTCCTGGGGCTCCAGCCCGAGATCCTTGGAGATGTTGCCCACGAAGGAGCCTTTGTCCAGCTCCTCGGGAACCGAGTAGCGGATCTGCCGGGCATCAGCCTCCCACAGCACACCGAGAAAAAGGCAGAACAGAGCCAGCGCGCGGCGGTCAGGGCGATTCCTTTGAGCGGCCATTGTCTGGTCACGGAATCCTCGCAATGTCCTCTTTGTGTTTTGACCGGTTCCTTTTTCTTTCTCTAGCTGCAGGGAGTCTCTGTAGCCCGAGAACCTTAAATTCTGGAGTGAGTGTCGCTGCAGTCCCGGAGCGGGTTTGTAGGAACTGTGAAGCTTTGTGTAGTTGGAGCCTTGAGAATCCGGATTGAGCGCTGGCTGCGTTTCTCTCCTAGTAGGTGAACAGCGGCGCTCAGAGTCCTCGGAAGTTACTGCACCCGCTATGTGTACAACAGAAAAATGCTTCTCTTTGTTGGAGATTTTATTTTACATTTCTTCTTTGGTTTCTCGGCTAATATCCTTAAATCAACTACTAGTTGTATGTTTTTTATTGGGTGGGATAAAGTGGAGTGAAAGTACTATAAAATATTAAATGAAAATAGTAAATATATATTTGCAACATTTATTTTCCCTATAGAAAGATATCCACTTCAAGAGGTAAGTAATGCGGTAAGTAATGCTTATTTTATTTCCTATGAGCTTCTAGATATAGTCAGAAGCCTTACAATTTTATTTGAAATTTTTATTTAAATGGTCCATTATGTTTAGACATTCATCTAGAGACTATATAGAGACATATCCCTATAATTCACTTAGAATCTTTTTATTTTAGATTTAATTAACTAATTAAATTTGTTTAGCATTAAGATTGTGTAAAGGTTTTCAAAATATTCTCTGTAAACTAGTTTTACTGAGCCTCAGTGAATCATTTTATTATTTTTAATTAATTACATTTTGTATGAATCTTTTTTTAAGAAATATTTTTATTATAGGTGTATATTAGTAGAAATTAATTTGACCTATTTACATGAATTGAGCAGGTAATCACAAATTAAAAGGAACATGTCTGTGTTGTAATGGGAACATAAATATGTAGAAGAATTTCAAGTGCTACAATTTAAAAAACTAAGCTAGAAACAGTGATGCATGTGTTTAAAAAATAAGTGTTAACACCAAATGACCTGTTTTCATCAGGGCATGCCAATATAAATAATCTCTTCTTTTGACATTTTATATGGAAGTCCAAAGTAAAGTGGTACACACATCTTCAATTGTATGTGCCCCTCAACCCAACAGTAGTTCTCGCCTCAACAATGAACAGTTTAGAGGTTTGCTTCTTTCATACAGAGAACACATTGTTCAGAAGTGTTTATGTCACTATGCCCCAAGTATGGAACTCTTCAAAGATTTTATACCAGGCAATCCAAGACAGAGACTGAGCACAAAAGGCAAGAGCATTTCATTTGCTTTCTTGGAAATTCTTGATCTTGCAATGGAGAGGAAAGAAGATTGGGAAAGAGCACAACTTGAGCACCAAGAAAAGATAAGCAAATATAAGACAAGAGCCCAAAGGAAAAAAATAGAAGAGAAAAATTCCTCTAGGGTAGTTAGTATCAAGTTCTGGGGACCACAGAAACCTTGGTACTGGCAACAAAATTCTGACTCCTCTCCCAAGAAAAAATGCATACATCTATAACTTTGCATATATTTCAGGAATTCATGGATCTGCTCACCACTCCCCCTCAAATGCTTATAGTTTTAAAAATTATTAAAATAAATGAAGATGATTTAAATGCACCCATGAAATTATTTGCAATAACTGTTTCTCTGAAAGGAGCAACTGCTTTGACACTTATTGCATGCCTAAGTATTATTAAACTTTAAAAACATATAAATAGGCTATGGGGACTTCATCTTTAAGCAGATTTGAATACATAGGTATTTATTTATTTATTTATTTATTTATTTATTTATTTATTTATTTATTTATTTATTTGGTAAGAGCCCCAGACAAGTGCCTCTGGGTTGCTAATCTGAGTTTGACAAGGTATCTCCAATTTAGTGACATTCTTTCTGAATTATAGAGTAACTATGAGCCAAGTAAGTCTTGAAAAATATAATCAGCCAAAAGTGAACACTGAGAAGACAAGATAGTGATTAGTTATGAATTTTCTAAATATGATTCTAGATATAAAAATGATTAGTACACCTGAGATATGAGAAACTAGAAGAATATTACATAAGACACAAAAATGAAACTCACCAGTGTTAGGGTCTCAGGATGTGAAGTCAAATCATTCCCACCCTGGAGTGTAATTAAGGCCCCAGGAGAATCACCGCAAACTATGTCTTGAGTGGATTGCAAGGGCTCACTACATTTTAAGAAATTAAACTCTGTCTTTCCAGTATGAGCCACGCACAAATTGTAGGCATAGGGCAATGTTCCCTCACTGTAGTTGGGGGGAATCTCAGATCCAGACTTCGAGCAGAGAACAGACCCAAAGCAGCCTCCAGCGGCAGGGATGGAGGAGCGTCGCAGGCGCAGAGCAATGGCCAGAATCACCGCAAGGAGAAAGAGCACTGAGATCAAGGTCAAGGCCACAACCAGGTAAAACTGCAGCTCAGACTGAGGGTCAGAGGGTGTGGGATGGTCGCTGAGATCTGGCAGCGCCTCTTGTAGGCTGTCAGCGAAGACCAGGAGCAGCGTGGCGGTGGCCGACAGGGGCGGCTGTCCCCCAT